GGGGGGGGGGGGGGAGGAAGAACGCGATAGCTACCGCGACATGACCTCCCGCTTATTGTACGCAAACACGTATGTCCTCCCTCTTCTGTCCCTGTCCGCCCCCTCCCGTCACGAATAGTTTTGATTCATGAGACGGCCGGCGAGTCGAGCGTGCGTGCGCCACCCGTGTGTGCGTGCGTGCATGCGTGCGTGCGTGCATCCGTGCATGCGTATGTGCACATGTGCGTATCCTACGCCCTCCTCCTACGTGCTACACGTGCATCCCGAGGTGTGCGTTTCTCTTCTCGCGCGCGAACCCCCTTTTCCCTGCCGGGACACGGCGAAATCCGACACTGCATACCAGTAACCCGACTTCTCCAAGCCGCCCTCCTATCGTCCCCCTTCTTCGCCATCGCCCCTCGCTTCTTTCCGCGCCCGCGCTCGCGCGCCACGTTTGAACACGTGTCAACATGTCGGTTGACATAGATTTTTCGCCGAGATAGAGAACCCAAAGAATAAGACGAGAAGAGGCTCCCGGCTCGAGCAAGAGGCTGATCGACTCCGCGCTCCAGCGTGTGAGAAAGAGAATGAGAGGGCGGGGATCGGCGAGGGGAGGCATCGGGGCCGACGAGGACGAGACGCAGGAGAAAGAGGAGGAAGGCAGCGTCTCTCTTCCAAAACCAGTTTGTACCTCTGGTGGACGAGAGAGCCTCGTCCCTCTGTTCTTCGGCGAGCGTGGTGCTCCGGGCGCGTTTAACACCGGGAGGCATAGCAGCGCCGCATTGTCGGACCTGATCGCGCGCGGCCGCGGCGGCATACGGCGGCGTCGTTGCGTCACGTTCCCGGTTAATTAATGCCTCTTTCCGGAGAGCGTTTATGGGCCGGACGCAATGAGATGTAGGAATCAGATGCGAGGGGGTCCGACGAAGGAATCCGATCCGTAATACGAGCGACGGATTGACGCGCTGCGGACCATACATCGATCGTGTGTTGTGCACGGAACGGAGACTACCGTCTACCATGTCTACCAATGAAGACAATGGTAAATCTCGAGTGCGTTTCACCTTTGAAAAATTCATCTCTCTAAGCTGATGAACTCGATGAATCTTTCTCACTTTGATGAATTCCACAACAGCGATCTCTGACCATTTTATTCACCGGGGAAATTCACGTTTGTGACTCACTCTCTGAATTTCTCGTAGTGAAATTTCACTCGAGAAACAGAGCGATCACTGAATTTGAGCGACTTTTCATTCATGTAGTGATTTTTCTACTCTGAGTCGTCTAGTGAATATTTTCACTCGAAATTATGGAGTGAAGCTGTAACTGTTCATAGTATATTTGCTTCATGTGATTAAAGAATTATGAAGTTTCTCCATCATCGATTGTCTTACGTGATAATTATGAAGGTCTATCTAGGTCTATCTGATTTGGGTCTATCTGATCTAGGTCTATCTGATCTGGATCTATCTAATCTGAGTCTGATCAGAATCCCCTCTAAGTTATAGACTGAGACATTCTCTATTGCGATTTCGAGTGGCAATATTTTCACTATCGTTCCGAGTGAAACTAGTGCCACTTTTCATTCGTTTTGAGTGAGATTCTACTCTAAGAAATTCATAGAGCGCGTCGTCCATTGTGACGATAGGCTCAGCTTTGCGGGGATGTTCTCTCATTTAAGAGTTTGAACTCAACGCCGCAAGTTGGAGCCATGCAACGCGGCGAAGCGGGGGAGGAACTCTCGCTGCCGATAAAAGCTGATAATTGACACTCGCGATATCTCGCCGGCGCTAATGCCAACATCGACCGATAAATTACGCTGCTCAATAATTCTCCGCTTCCTACGTTCGCGGCGTCCGGCATGAATCATCCTCGCCCGCGAAAGACCGAGGCGTAACCATTTACATACACGTACTCTGGCGCGCTTCGAAGGAGGAATGCGGGCGAGAGGGCGGAGAGGGAGAGCGAAAGTTGTGTGATATATCCGTTATAATTTCGCACCGAAAAGGCCGGGGTGCGTATCGCTTCCGTATGTTAGGGACCATTTGTTTCCGGAAAATGGCGCAATTTTGTCTCTCCGGCGCAATGCCGGAACAAGCGCAATACCTTCCCAGCCGTAATTTAAGCAGCAAGCCCTTCACGTGCCACGTTGTATTTATTCGGCGACATATAAGAGGGACAGGGGAGTGAGGAAGCAGCTACGTAAGGATTCTACGTCCTGCAATTTTCGTTACATATCCAACGTCTCGAGAGGTAGAGTGCCGTCGTCGAAACGCTTAGAGTATCGGCTATGTGCGAGTGGCTCAGTGAACGTCTTTCCGAAAGTAACTCCGACGTAACCGTCGCGTAACGAAGCGATTGTTTCGAGATACCAAATATTAGATCGCGTTAATTCGTCTAGAAGGCACATTGCTGCGCGAGACACCTTTATTATGTCTTCAGACGCAACGAGCAGGAGGGAGATACTGGTGGGATCTCTCGCGCGTACGGCACATTTTTGCATAATTGATGCATCATCTCACCGTTCGCTCGGCATGTATATATCGTGTCTATTTCGACTAACTCGGACGTCTAACAACGTAAGATCTTTCCAGCGACTCGAGAATTTCGCGTCGCAATGCGAGATTGAAAGGGCCCCCCCCGGATGACGATCGACCAAGCTCGGGCGTTGCAGTTACGATCTAACGAGAGACCCTTGCACATGCAACGCCTCGGGCGGTCGCCTAGTTTGTCTCGAAATAGATCCGCCTCGCAAACAGGTACACAATACATAGACTAACACGCGTAGTTGACAATTATTCTGATATTATCCGTGCGGTATTCTTATATGCACCATAACTGCCCCCGGTGATTTCATCGACAGACGTTGAATAGGATTCCGGAACTATAGTTTCCCGATATATGGAGCATTATAGTTTCCTATTACGGGGGAGCGCATAAATAGGAGCACGTCTCTGTTCGCTGGTACTTTGACATTAACAACATATTGTTTCTAATAATGCCATAGCGACGTAACGGTTGAATAATAATAATTGAGTACTGACAGTAATTATCACGCTTAGCAGTGCATAATATTCCATAGGTAGATATCCCATCCCCTTGAGCTTAATGAAAAACGCTGGTTACAGATTCCTTAGATACAAGTTTTTTGACAGTCTGATCCAATAGACTTTTATTTCTCGTGAACGTAAAATGTGCTGAGTATGAAAAATACAGTAATCTTATTTTATATTTTTAACAAAATGCTTGAATATTCCAAAAGATCCAAGTAATATCTTGAATAGTTCATGGTCGTTAATATTTGAATAAGCGAAATGAGAGTCCCTGTTAATTATCTAACATACCGTTTTATTGATTTTTAATACTAATACATTTCTATATCATCGCTCACAATCTTGGTATAATTTATTTCTTGCAACATTAGAAATATAAATATCATTGTAGAGTCAGAAAAATCATATCCACCTTCTTGTTTAATATTTTATATAGTTTTTCAAATTGGTTTAAAGGATATTTAAGGAATCTAGTTTATTGTGCATTCATTACTCTGGTAATGGAATGAATCACTTCGTGATTTCCCAAATCAAAATTTTGACTTTATGTTAAATCTTAAATTCTATAACGCAGTAGGTAATTAAGTTAGTAAAGTAGGTTTAAAATTTTAATGATACTAACTCTTATTTTTACTTTAATGTTGTCCGAAATTTCCCCTTTTACTTTCAATAGTAAAGCTGCAAAGGATTAAAATTTCGACTTAGGTAAGTTAAATAGAATCAAAAAAGTTTACAAAAGTATATAAAAGAGTTTAATGTAGGTTTCAGAGTATCAAAATACTGTTTGTTGAATATAATAAAGCTAGGAGTAGGATAAAAATGTTGACTCGGGAAGACTATTAGGGTTCGTAAACGCCTTTTTATATGTGCCAAATGATAAATGTAAACTTTCTTCTGTTTACTGTTATTATCTCAATTACTAGAACGAGTTTGTTTTCGCGCTCAATCTTTCGGTTTCTTCCTAATACCTCGCGCTCAATCTTTCGCGTTCTTCCTAATACCTCGCGCTTATAAAGATCAGGGGGACTCACCTTCTCGCGCGTCGCTCCGGCAGGATTTGGGACGGCTGGCAGGGCCTGAAGGGGAGAGAAAAAATCGACGAGCAGGAAGAAATCAAGATCCCTTGCGCGCCGCGGGCTTTCTGCTTTCCTCGGAGGGGTGAGTGCGTGCGTATGTTCGTGCGTGCGTGCCTGCGTGCGTGTTCGGGGTCTCTCTCGCGTGCGGCGTGAGAACTCTTTTTCGGGCCCTCACGAAACGATAAAAAGTAGACGAAGAGGAGGACGATGTAGCACCGGGAGCCTCTTCTCTTCTTCGTTTCTCTCTTCTCTCTCTCTCTCTCTCTCTCTGTCTTTCACTCGTCCCTCTCTTCCTTTCTTCGTCTCCTGTTCTCCCGCTTTCTTTTTCCTTTTTTTCACCCTCCTCCCTCGGTCGCTTCCCTTATTATGCGAAACGGTACACGAATCCCAATGGCTTTGCGTGATTATTAATTAAGACGTTTCCTGTCGAACGATACGTCGATGAAGATGTTTCGGCGCGCGCGCTCAAGGCCGCTCGTTACCCTGCGGCGGTGTCCTTAGGTCGCGTTAATTATCCCACCGAATAACCGTCGCGTTGCGGTGCGCTCATTCCCAATTCGCGCGTGCCCGATCATACACGAGTGCGTCGCATGAAGAAGCACGAGTTCAGGGGATCTCTCGTCGGGAGAACGATCTTGAAACGTCTCGCGACACACAGCTGCGGCGCACACACACGGGGTTAATTAGCCTGATTAATCAAGACCGGCGAGCCTAGCTGTCGGTCGACGCGTCTGTTCCCGCCCTTTGAGAAGGACGCGAAATCAGCGATCACGAGTGACATGTAATTTAGCGCACGCGTGCTCGCGCGCGCACACACACACACACACCCACACGCGCGCGCGCGCGCGCGACCACTGTCGGTATTAAGAGAGCGTTCACGACATTAACGTGATACGCGACGATTCATCAGTCAAAATGAAGCCCGAGGCCCGATCACCCGCGTGCTCCGGCTTCAATCGAGACTCTCACGAGAATCGACGAGCGCATTTGTTGTATTAATTATCACGACGTCTGCGTGTCAATTAGCCGTCGATAATACGCGATTATATTGCGCGCGCGTAAAGGAGACACACTCGCTATAACGCGGACACACCTGGCACACAGGCAGTGTTAACCACTATTAAGGACTATTAATTAGCCGTGCTCGCTCGCGCGAATTCTCTAGTCACTCGTCGAGCGTTCCTTTGAAACGGCACTTGGATCGCGTGTCCACGGCGCGCATTCTTCCTCCTGGCCGATTCGCAGAAGCACGACTCCCGGGTTAGAGCAGGTGTTAATTATTTCAGGAGACGTTAATTGATCGCGATCCCTTTGGCGATTATCATTATTCGGCCTTTACTCGTCCCTTCATTACGACGATAGCGGGGCGTGCTGCGAGGAATCTCCTCTCGGAGAGTGTCTATGATACGGCAGTTCCAACGCACGCTGATCGCGGTGCGCGCGCGATCTGTTAATTACGCCGAGTAACTCCAGCAGCGATCAGCTGCGTTGCGAATTAATCGCGATCGCTTGTGTCTATCAGGCAGCGGCTATCGCGTGAATGACTGCGTGTCTTCGATCATCTGTTCAATATTTCACCGGGATCATGTTCCGCCGACCACCTTCGGAAGAAAGATCCTCTCCTCCTGTTAGGAGACCGCGTTCATGCAACATTCATGGCACTGTCGGCAAATGAAAATCCTCGATGCACCGATCCTGCTTACGATCACTGCCCCTTCGAGAAAGAGCGACCGTAGGAAACGTCGTCTCTGTGAGCGCAGAGCGGAAAGAAGACGATCGTGTCCTCCGTATTGACCTGCCGGCTCCCTCCGATGACCGGCTAATCGTCTCGTTCAACTCGCACGTTGCGCCTCTGAGTCCGCTTATACCCGCTTCGAATTGAATGCCGTCGTGAACAGCGCGTCCTTGAAATATTCATGCGCGAAATAGCGATCGATTGGAGCGATGGTTTCTTCCGCGTTAAGAATTCATTCGTTCGCCGAGTGGTGAACTCCTGTCGGATTTATCGCGAACGTCTGTCGATTAGTCGCGATCGCTACCTCTCCCAAACTTCAATTGTCGTCTTATATCCGTGGATATTAACCCTGGAACGTGCACGAGTTGCTAATCGCCCTGCGAAAGTCCACGAATAAGGCGACGTGAATCATTCATAACGTCGAACTTCGCACGGTGGGCTCTTTCTTCGTCTCAATGGCACCGCCATTGATCCACACCTTCTTTCTTCACCCTTTGTGAATCAAGTCGATCTACAACTTCTTTCCTCAACCTTCGTGGATCAAGTCGCGAGTCACAAACTGTCCCACAGAGAGATGTGGAGCGTCTCGGGCGAAATCGAAATCTTCAGCCCGCGAATTGTCGTCCATGAGTAAAGACCCTGAGCTATTCCGCGACAGGACCGTTGATCAAGAGAAGTAGCGTGGCACACGCGAAGTCACTGCGGATCGCTCATATAAGTGGAATGAAACTTCACATCCCATCCGAGGATCGCTTTATTGAATCGGGCTAGGTTACAAAGTTTAAGTAGTCGTGTGCGGGGCAGCAGCCGGATTAAAACAAATTCCCTTAATCTCCCTCGAATTGCTGTTTGTAGCCCGGAAGTTTCCACGATCACTCCACGATGTAACGCACGATAACGGTCAATAATGAAACAAGAGCGACGCTCAAGCCACTCTCACGGCGAGTTAACTCCAACTTCAGCCTCCGTCTCTCCGACTCGCGATTTCGAACGCGAAGTTCGAGTGATCTCTAGCGAGAAGTGGAGCGGACGGCTACAGGCAATTCGCTCACACCGGCTTTTTGGAAACTAGCAGACTGCAAAATCGTCCTGTGGAAAACGTGGACGACGGTACTGAACGGTGACAGAGAGAAACAGCTATAGATCACTGACGTCAGTCCAGTAAAATTTAATCTCTCATCTCCATGTTACGAATTAGCACACGCGCACGAATTCTCTATTCCTCGGCTTCGCTGTTTGCGAAGCGAGACCTGCGAGATATCCCGCGACAAACAGGAGGTACGCGAAGCACTCATCCGTTCGGCCAGGTCGTACTTCGCTCTCCGTCTCGCTTTCCCTTATCGCTCTTCACGAGTTCGGACAATTGGATCAAGACCAATTCCTTTCGCCAGCCTTGGCTCACTGATTTACGGGCCGGGACGCGTACGGTAAGGGTCGCGTCGGTGGAAACGGTTCCAGGGGTTCGTCGACGAGCGCGGCGCGCACAAGTCGGATTAATTACACCGGCGGGTTAATCAGTAGCCGGGGCTCGCTCGTCCGGCAGGATTCGCAGCAGCGGATGCTGCACTGTCGCGGTCACTCGTGGCCGCCGCGCCGCGGGACGCATCCCGAGGGCATTCGCACGCAGGCTTCCGGTCTGCCGGAAGCGGCACGCATTCGAGAGTGCACCCTTGTTCTCTCTTCCCTCCTCTTCCCTCCCCCCCTCTCTCTTTCTCTCTCTCTCTACCGCAAGTGGCAGCAGCACTCCGCTCACAGTCACCAGCTGGATCACCGCGCTCGCTACCGAGCGGCACTGACTCGACACACACACAATAGAATGGATGACACACACAAACACGCGCGGGCACACACGTACACCGACACGCGCGAGGAGAGTATCCACGTTCCTCGTGGCGTCGTCCTGATGAGTCTGCTCGAAGAGGATTGCTAGGAAGGTCGAGCACGCTCGATCCTCTCTTCCAGACCCTCTCGCGACAGTCACGTGGCACTAGTCCAACGTCCCGATAATGATGATGATGACGATGATAATGTTGACGATGACAATGACGATGATAACGCGGTGATACAGATGAGACTGTGAACGGTCGATCGGTATACCGGGTGTCCCGGAAAAATCGCGGATCGTCTGTCTACAAAAAGGACTGCCGGTGCGAGATCGTTTGTGATATCGTGATCATCCCCTTCTTTTTCCCGTCGTCGGAGATCGCTCGATCCCTCTCGCGAACGTGACGTGACGCGGCCGATGATCCAGACACGGAATCGGTTCGTTTCGCGCGGCCGGGCGCCGCTCGGATGGACCACCGTGATCCGGCCTCGGAACACACGCTCGTTGAACTGTCGTTCGGAGCAGCTCCGGCCGCGGTTTAGTATCAACGTTCGTTCTTGGCTGGCGTCGCGCCCCTCCCGGGACGCCGGCCGACGCCAATCGAGTGCGCGTATACCTACTACGTGCATGTACCTGCGAACCTGCAAGAGGTGAACCCACCTCTGCCTTCCCGCCCGGCCGGAATCTCGACTGCGCGACCTGCGCGCGCGCGCGCATCCCCTTCCGTTCGTGGGTGTGAGTATGTATGTATGTGTCTATGTGTGTGTGTGTGTTATATGTGTATTCTTCTAACGTGTGCATATTCGCGCTCGCGCGCGTTGGTGTGTTCGGGACCTGCGCTCGCGATTCTCTCTCTCTCTCTCTCTCTCTCTCTCTCTCTCTCTCTCTCTCTCTCTCTTTCTCTCTCTCTTTCTCTATTCTACTCTATTCTCTCTGTCTACTCTATTCTCTCTCCTCCCGTGGAAAGTAAATGTCAACGAGAAAAATATCGTTTAGTGGCAGTGACGCGCGCGGGTTGTTACCATTATCGCATTTTGATGTTATACGGATCGTTAAACGACATTTTATACCCGGGACGGTGTAATTTTTGCGTGTTAATTAGCCCTCTGATATAAATATGATATGTAAATCGCAAGGGACATAAATATTTTTTGACTATGTTATAATTCTTATCTTTCATTTCGCCATCGCTAGTTACGTCAAATACTTTGAAGCTAATGAGCTGGAGTGTTACTAAAAATGAACACGCACGCACGCACACGCACATTCACTCGTACTTGCTCGCGTTATACACATTCTCTCAAATTCGACGATAGACTGTTCCAGAAAATATACAGTCCTGTATTTTCGTGTGCTTGTCTATTCTTCAGTAAAGTTTGCAGCAGGGTGAAGTCGAGACTTTTTTTGCGAAGAGTTTTATAAGAGATCTCAAGACGACACGCAACAATAATGTAGTAGATTAATCAGTACTTGACTCTCAAGTGACACTCTCGACGGAATCAGACGCGTTTCAACTTTATATGTATTCTAATTGACTGATTACCGATCTAAGCGCTTTTAAGCATTCGTTTAACGGCCACTCTGACATTATTTTCCGGCTGTCTCTTTCTCTTTGTCTGTCTGTCTGTCTCTCTCCCTCTCTCTCTCTCTCTCTCTCTCTCTCTCTCTCTCTCTCTCTCTCTCTCTCTCCTGTTTTGCGCGCGAGCCCGACTCGACCTGAAAGCGGATCGATAGAATGAAAATGGGTTAACGTTTTACGATCCCGCCTCGCGCCGCTAATTTCGTGCATATTCGGATTAGCAGATACGAGAGGCGAGATATCCGAGACCGGAATAACTGCGGATTTCTTCCTTTTGTGCCTCTCCGTCCCCCCTCCCCTATCGTCCTCCCCTCCTTGGCTCGCCCCTGCCACTGGTTTTTTTCCTCCTCCCTTTTTATCCTCGTGCCCGGCGAGATGTAAAAATGCGGAATTACCGCGCTCTTATCGGGAACGTTACGGACTTCTGCATGCTTCCTGCATGCGCTCGCTTGCACGGATGTTATCGGATGTCGTACACGACGTATAGGTGCGCGCCGTTTTGCACGCTTCGTTATCCCGCGACTGCACATGCATCTGCGCCTCTGCGAGACTCTTTGTATTCGTGGATACTTTTTGCGAGCGCGCGCCCCTCCCCCTCCTCTCCCGTATCTAGCATCCGAAAGTATGTCGCGGCGCATATCTATCAGCTGTATGCAGCTTTTGCAAGTAGCTGTCATACCGAGTGAATGGGAGCAGCAGCAATTGACAGGTGGTGCATGCGAAAACCCCGTGGCAACTGAAATTTCCGTCGAAAATGATTTGCCGCGGCGCGTGCGCTGCGGGATCTCCACGTGAAGTTCACAAAAATGCATTGGCGAGAAAGGCGTGAGTAACATTGGATTATCAATACCATCGAGATTTTCATAAAACATCAAGAACCGTCCGAATCGCATGTCGAACCGATGGAATTATCATCTGTTATTGCTTCTGAACACCCTCGGGGGTCGACGAGATGAGCACAGTTACTAGCTGTTTGCTACTAATGAATAGAGATTATCCATCTCTCCTCTCTTTCGGGATATTCCGCTTCTTCTTGAATAAAGCGAACCGTGCGATTCATTGCGAGCGGATATTTTGCAAATATCCTACGTTTCCACGCGCGCGCTACACTTTAACGCGTTCTTGGATTATTTATTTTCCGTCGCGGGGTGCGATGTATTTTACTTTCTGATCGTAGCCTTTTCTACACCGCCATGCACTTGAAGGAAAATGCTGGAAGTGTCGTTGAAAGTTTCGAGCACTCAGTCTCACCATTATTGTTGGTAGTTCGCTAGAGAGAAACGCGGAGGGAAGCGCCTACGCGCGGGGATGTGCGAATATATATGTGTGGTATGTATGTATGTGTGTGTGTGTGTGTATGGTGCGCGCGCGCGAAGGGCGGATTTCATAGTCCATGTAGTTTGGCATCAATGCGAAATCTGGGGTTGGTTTCAGACGCACGATAAAGCCATTTCAAATTGAATAACAGATTTCTGGGCGCACAACAAAATGCACTTGCCGCGGAGGTTTCCGAAGCCTCGAAAGGGGATTTAAGCAATGCCGCGCACCTTTCTCTCTATCTTCACGCATGGCGTACACGCATACATACGAATGCATCTTCGTTTTTTCGGCCTTTGTCCCTCTCACAGAGATAGAAGAGGGAGAGAGGGGGAAAGAGAGAGAGAAATGAGATGAGAGAGTGAAATTTATATTTCCAATTGTACTGTTCATGAATTATTTGATGCCGACTGAGCTTCTGATGAGATGACCGTTCTTGATTTTCTTTTCTACAAATGGATGTTGATTAAAATATGGAGGTCGCTATGAGCAATATATACTCTGTAAAACTTTTTCAGGCTGGGAATTAAGCATACGAATAAATATATCGTGAGTATCAAGACGAACTTTAGATTTTATGAAAAATAGATTACTGTACTTGTACCCTGATAAAATAAAAAGTAATTTATTAAAATAAAAATGATTGCGTACACTTCTAAAAATTATCGCAAACTGTATCGAGAACGATTTACGGGATCGTACATAGAGGGAATTTTATACCAAAAATTACTATAGAATTCTACCTACTAATTACTATAGTAGAATCGATATTTTGCAGTAATTGACTATACTTTCATTTCATATATATATATACATTTTTGTTTTTTTTTTAAGAACTGTAATATGCTATTGCAAGGTTTGGTATGTTTCTACTGAAATGTATCATGTTGCTTAGCAAAATAGACCTTACTAGTCCATTCCTGCACTATTAGAAATAGTATAGTTATAGTAAAATTACAACAATTAATTATACTTTTACAATTAGTTAAAATTTGTAACTTTGAAATTCTGAGAATGTGCCATCTAGCCCTACTTTCTTCTAATAATAACAGCAACAACAATAACAATATTAATGTTTACTTTATACTAGACTATACACCAGATTTAAAAATTATATCTTAATTAATACCTCAATTTTGTCGTTTAACATAATCATATCGTTAAACTGTCCTTTTCGAAAGATAGAAAGAGCGAAGTCTATATCGTATAATATACAATATGATATATAATATCATAATAATTTATTTAGTATATTTGTTATTAACGTCTCGATGGATCACCGAGCATTCCCGGTAGCCTCGCATTTTGGTGGCTCACTTGCATAATTCGCGAATAGACCGAATTATGTATTTCCGCCGGCCGCAACGCGAATCGACGCGATTTCCGTGCAAATAAAGATGACTCACGCTTTTTCTTAATTGGTCACATCATCAGCCCTCGTCATGTACTCGTTGCCGTCCCGAAAACGATTCCAGGTAAATCCGATTGCGGGATTCAATCGCGAACCGCAAACGGGTTCGGCGTGCGTGTTTCGCTGAGTAAATTCTTAGGAATGCTCAAAAAGATTGCTAATTAAGCGTTACTTTATCACGGTTCTGTCGAAGTGGAGGAAAAAGAATCACTTCCTGCTTATCCGAATTAAAAAATTCCAAGGCGAATACGTGTATTAAAACCAATCAAGAAACATAGCAAATCTTGCAATAACATATTGCAGTTCCTAAAATATATATATATATATATATATATATATATATATATATATATATATATATATATATAAAATGAAAGGATAATTAGTTATTGCAAAATGTCAATTCTACTATAGTAATTAGTAGGTAGAATTCTATAGTAATTCTTAACACACACGGCTATATTGAGTTTCAACCTATACATGATCTCAAGTCGAAATTTTGGCCCTATGTTAAACATTGAATTTTACAACAGTAGGAGGTAAGTTAGCAAAGTAGGTTTAATTCTAATGATACAATTTACTTTTATCTTGCCTCTAATATCCCAAATTTCCTTTTTCATTTTAGCATCAAAATAGGTATTGAATAGAATAGTGAGATTGAAAGCAGGATTAAACTTTCGACTCAGGTAGTTCCTGGTAAAAATGCGATGCAGTTTTCGAGAGCTGTCACTGAAATAATTCCTACATAATCATGTCAGTAATTAAAAATTTTTTTAAAATAATATAAAGTACGTTTTAAATTTATTCGCAATAGACATTAAACTATGTGCACATTAGAAAATTCTGAACTAATATTATTGATACTATCCCGAGTCAATCTCAAAATTTTGACTCTACTTTCAGTCTTATTATTCCATTCAACATCTATTTTGATATTCTGAAGCCTATATAATGTCTATTTTGACATTAAAGAAAGTGAAAAGGGAAATTTCGAACACCATCAGAGTCAAAATAGAAGTAAATTCGGTCATTAGAATTAAATTTACTTTGTTAACTAGTTCGCACTGCGTTGTAAAATTCAAGGTTTAATATAGGCCAAAATTTCGACTCGGGACGCCTTTGAAAGAATCGTTCCACATATTGTGCAGTAAAAATTACTTCCACCACTGAATAAAACTCTATCAGGTTCTTGTTCAGTTTCTACGCAGCACTTTTACAACTAACAAGAATGCATTAATATTAGACAATAACTGGGCAGATGTCTACGCAAACTGCATACATTTCTACAGAAACAGCTTAACTTTTAT